CTCCCCGTAGCGGGTCTTCTCCTCGCGGTGGACGGCCGCCATGAGCGTGGAAATGCCCTGCACCATCTCCTTGGACATGGCGTCCACGGCGGCCGGCACGCGGCCGGAGTAGGCATCGGCGTCGGCCGCCGCGTCCGGGCCCCCGGCCACCGACGGGTGTGCCAGGCAGGCGTCCACCTGGCGCTGGACCTGCTTCAGGTGCTCGCCCGACACGGTGTTGAAGAGCTCCCGCACGGTGGTCTTGTTGTGCTGGTACACCGGCATCACCTCCAGCATGAGGGGCTGGATGGCCCGCACGGCCGAGGCCACCAGCCGGTGGGGGTCCACCAGGGGCTGGAGGTTGAGCTGCAGCGGCACAGCAGGCCCCCGGGTGCATGGCGACGGAGGGAGGAGGGTCAGAGAGGCGGCGGCCCGGGGGGGGGGGGGGGGGCCGGGAGAGGAAGCAGGGCCCGGCGGCCGACGTACGGTGTGCGTGCGCGACAGGGCAAAGAGCAGGTCCAGCCCGGCGGCCAGTGACAGGGCCGACGAGCGGAAGGCCGTGCCGACGTCATCCACCGAGGACAGGGCCCGGAGGCAGTCGGCGAGCCGGCGGCGGAAGAGGGCCGCCTGGGCGGCAAAGTCCCCGGGGGCCTGGAAGAGGTAGAGCCGGTCGCGGAGGACCCGCACGACGCTGTCCACGCCGCTGGCCGAGGGCCCGAGGCCGCGCGGGTGCCGGGCGATCGGCAGCAGCGACATGGTCAGCTCCTTGAGGGCCCGGCTCAGGTCCAGCACCCCGGACAGCAGGGCGTGCACCTGGGTCAGGGACAGGTGATCGGAGTCGGCCCGGCGCAGGCGCGCCTCATTGACGATGAAGGCTGTGTGTGTGCGGTGTGCGGTGTGCGGTGTGCGGTGTGCGGTGTGCGGCGTGCGGTGTGCAGCGTGCAGCGTGCAGGGTGCAGTGTGCGGTGTGCAGCGTGCAGCGTGCAGCGTGCAGCGTGCGTGGGTGCGAGGTGAGTCGACGGGGCATGGTGGGCGCGTCGGCAGGGCGCGCGGGGATGGTGGTGTATGCGCGGGCTCATGCGCCGCCGGGGACGTACCCTTGCGCATGGCCTCCAGCAGGTCGGCCAGGGCGCGGAGGACCTGCTGCGAGCCGTGCTGCAGCAGGCGCACATCACGGTTCAGGTAGATCCGGTGCGCCACGCCGCTGGCCAGCTGGGCCAGCTGAACCGCCGAGAAGATCAGCCCCACCAGGCCGCCGAAGAGGCCGACCGCGCGCGGCCGCGGCAGCGCATGCGTCCGGGCATGGTGCGCGGCCCGCACGGCCGACGCGGCCAGCTGCGACAGCAGCCCCATCAGGTCGCTGGTGCCGGCGAAGGTCCGGCAGTCGGAGCGGTCGACGAAGATCTGCCCGGGGCCCACGAGCGGAGGCGTCAGCGAAAGGGGCAGGCAGGCCGGCAGGCCGGCCGAGAGGCCGCGTCGGAGGCGGTCCCCCCGGTCCCCCACCCGCCAGATGGGCAAAAGGAAAAGAGCGGGCAATGGGAAAAGAGCGGGCAATGGGAAAAGAGCGGGCAATGGGAAAAGAGCGGGCAATGGGAAAAGACCCAGGCACAGGGCCACGCCTCACGACGCACATCAAACACCGGGACCAGATCCGCCGCCGGGACGCCCACGCGCTGGCCCTCGAAGATGATGTGGTGCGTGTCGCGCTCCGGCGGCCCGGGGGCCGCCAGGCACAGCAGGTCCCCCGGGCGAATGGTGGCATCGTGCTCCGGCAGGGGGATCTCCCGGCCGGCCCGGAGGACCGTCAGGATGACCTCGGCCCCGGGCTGGCCGGCCGGGGCCTCGGCCAGGGCCCGGGCCGACCGGGCATGCTGCTCCATCTGCGCGGCCACCTCGGCCCGGAAGGCCACCGGGTCCAGCTCGGCCTGGTGGAAGGTG